GTATTGCTTCATCAAATCGTACATGTTTGCAGTGATTTTTGTAATCCTACTGCTTTCGTTTTAGTCATTTTTATTCAACATTGTTTATTAGATATAACTGTTTCTCGACTGTTTCTCGTATAGGGAATTATTTCCAGATCAAATTGAAAGAGTGAATGATTGTCAACTTGTCTTGATTGCATACCATTTGCGATGTTAGTTTTTTATCACAATTTCATTTCGCYTTTTGTGTATTCAATATCATTTTTTCTCCGTTAGGAAATGTTTAGATTAACACTTTTTCAGGGTTTTTTTCCTCTAGTGTTCAATGACCTTGGCATGCTGTTTCCACTTTTAAAAAAACAATTAATCTTTACAGAAAGGACTACAGTACAAATGGCTGATTGCTATCGAAGAAATATACTTTTTTTGTAAACTGGATGTACATTCAATAGATCCAAAGAACATCACCTAAAAACATTAAAGAAAAGCTAAGGAAAAAATTAACTTGATTGTTAATAATATATTCTTTGTAAGTTGTTGGGCGTGGCAAACTTAACCTCTTCATCAAGCACATCTCAACCTCTCAAATTTCGTCCCTTTTTTCTCTCTCTCTCTTGTAGCCGTCTTGTTATCTCGGTAAATCGTACAAAAAAAAAAATCATTCGTGCTTTTCTAGACATCTCGTCAACATTTTAAGTACGTTAGCCAAGCATAAAGCTGGSCTCAATCTGATTCGTGATGAAGGTAACGAGATAGCTGACATGGTAACCATACTAATTGCTTTCACTTACAAAGTGGTGTTTTATTGTTCGAAATTATGAATTTCTATTCGTAATAATGGCTCCCAARGTCTTAATGTTAGTCATCATAATCTCCCAGATATGAGCAATAACTGAGTAAGCTGCTATGCAAGATAGCAGTAGTGATACCATTCCGGACAAACTTTTAGTTCAATTCATAAGAATTGTGCTTCTTGAATTTGACTGAGGTAAATTAGCTTAAGGTGAGTTTTACTGCATCAAAATCTAGTGGTGTTGTTTTTCAGGCATTTCGTTTTACTTGGGATAAAAGAGGTTGTCATCTAGTGCTTTGTACTYGTGAATAGCAGTTAAAACTGTTTCACAGGCAGTATTTTTCTCTCTGGGTGGTGAAAAGTAACCGTTTTCCAACTGATTTAGAATTTTGTAATTTAGGCCATTATTTAAACATAGTGTTTTTAGTGTTGACAAATTTTTYMAAWYYT